GAGGATTTGTTGAACACTTGTGTCCTTGAGTAGGAAGGTGTTTGGGATAGTCATCTTCCACTAATAGAGTTCACTTACAACAATAGTTTTTATTCTAGAATTAAAATGGCACCATTTGAGGGACTCTATGGTCAGAGGTATATGACACCTTTGTATTGACATGAATCTGGTGAGAATGTAATGCTTAGGCTTGAGATTATTGAACAGACTACTAAAAAGGTAAAGTTATTTCGATAAAAGATGAAAGCTTCGCATAGTAGGCAGAAGAGTTACCATGATAAGAGGAGAAAGGTTATTGAGTTTCAGGAAGGAGACCATGTATTCTTGAGAGTCACTCTGATGACCGGTGTCAGGTGTGCTTTGAAATTGAGAAAGCTTACTCCTCGGTTTATCAGTTCATATCATATTTCCCATAAGGTTGGAGTTGTTGCTTATAAAATGATTTTGCCACCTAATATTTCAAATTTGTATGATGTATTCCATGTCTCACAACTTCAGAAGTATGTTCCCGATCTATCTCATGTGATTTTGATGGATGATGTGCAAGTAATGGATAATCTTATAGATGAAGCCTTACTTATGAGGATCGAAGACCGTGAATTGAAAAAGTTAAGAGGAAAAAAGATTTCTCTCATGAAGGTAGTTTGGGGAGGCGCTACCGGAGGGAACATGACGTGAGAGTTGGAGAGTCAGATGCGAGAGGCATATCCTGAGTTGTTCGCACTAAGTAAATTTTTTAGGGCGAAAATATTCTAAGTGGAGGAGAGTTATAACACCCCGATTTATTTAATTAATTTTCGTAAATAAATTGTGTGATGATATGTGCTGGTTGATGATTTAAGGTGTTAGGGGAACCCTTATATGTAAGGTGATAGCCTTAGAAATGTAGGATTTAAGGTGTTTGAGTAAAAATATAGAGATTTGAGAGTAGTAAAAATGGGATTAATTACTAATAGTTGAATATAATTATTTTAATTATTTAAATAATAGTAGAGGAATATTATTTAAATAAATATTTAGTTGGGAGAATATTTATTTTATTTAGTTGGAATAAGTTTTAGTATTATTATTATTATTATTATTATTATTATTATTATTATTATTATTATTATTATTATTATTATTATTATTATTATTATTATTATTATTATTATTATTATTATTATTATTATTATAAAATAAGAAAATAAGGGAATATAGACACAAAACTATCAGAGCGTGAAAAAGAGAAGAGTAAAGGAAGAGAGCTAGGGCTTAGGAGAAGAAGATCCTCCATTAGAGAAGCTTCAAACTCATCAATCCAAGATAAGGATGAAATTCCTCTTGTATAAGGGATTATATAATAACATGTGGGTGGGTGTTCTAATATCTCTATGATTGTTTTTCTCTTGTCTATATTCTAAGTAATTTATGCATAGTGATGTTATTTGTGTAGCATGTTTGGATGTTGTGTGTTGTTGGAGATCGGAGTATAGAACTTGGGTACATGATTATCCATAAAAAATTGGGGCTTGAGAATGTTTTGGAATTGATTTATGTAACATGAAACTTGCAGAAAATTGTTACTGGTTTAGTGATAGCCAGTTACGTGTTTTGGCGTAAATGGTTACTGTAGGGGCAATTCCGAGGAGAGAGCATTTTACTTGGGACACACATTTGTGAGAGACACACCACTTGTCCATCTAAAACCTTAAGATGATAGATGAGTGAGTTCTCTCATATATAAGTGCTCAATCTTCCCTTTTATAATCAATGTAGGACTTCTTCCTCACACTTGATTCTCAACACTCCCCCTCAAGTGTGAGTCACAATGCTCCCCCTCATGTGGAATGACTCTCTTCCACATACACTTGTACCATCGCTCGATACAAGTAAGCCGGTCCCTATCTCGAAACCAAAGGCTCATGATACCACTGTAGGGGCAATTCCGAGGAGAGAGCATTTTACTTGGGACACACCTCTGTGAGAGACACACCACTTGTCCATCTAAAACCTTAAGGTGATAGATGAGTGGATTCTCTCATATATAAGTGCTCAATCTTCCCTTTTATAATCAATGTGGGACTTCTTCCTCACACTTGATTCTCAACACTCCCCCTCAAGTGTGAGTCACAATGCTCCCCCTCATGTGGAATGACTCTCTTCTACATACACTTGTACCACCGCTCGATACAAGTAAGTCGGTCCCTATCTCGAAACCAAAGGCTCATGATACCACTGTAGGGGCAATTCCGAGGAGAGAGCATTTTACTTGGGACACACTTTTTGTGAGAGACACACCACTTGTCCATCTAAAACCTTAAGGTTTTAGATGGACAAGTGGTGTGTCTCTCACAAATGTGTGTCCCAAGTAAAATGCTCTCTCCTCGGAATTGCCCCTACAGTAATCAATGTAGGACTTCTTCCTCACACTTGATTCTCAACAGTTACATCTGAAATGTTTTAAAAAGAAATCACTTTTTCGTGGGTGTAACCGATTACCAGTTCTAATGTAATTGGTTATACTGTCTAAAATTCGTAAAACTGGATATTTTGGGAGGTGTAATCGATTACCATTTTGGTGTAACCGATTACCACTGGAAAATCATGTACTCTTTGTTTCTGGACTTGGCGTAATTGATTACTTGGAATGGCATAGCTGATTACCACTACTGTATGCTAAAAATAAATAAATTTATAACTCGAGTTTCGGGTGTCCACTGGGAAGCTGACACATTGTACATTATTTAAAAATAGTCTTGGAACCTTGAAATGATTAAATATTGTGTAATGGTTTGTATAGTGTGTGATTTGCATGTTGTGGCGTGATGAATGTATATGGACATTGTGTTGTTTCTTGAGGTGTTGCTACAATGTTAATATTAATTACTATATATATATATATATATATATATATATATATATATATATATATATATATATATATATATATATATATATATATATATATATATATATGTGTGTGTGTGTGTGTGTGTGTGTGTGTGTGTGTGTGTGTGTGTGTGTGTGTGTGTGTGTGTGTGTGTGTGTGTGTGTGTGTGTGTGTGTGTGTGTGTGTGTTGTTTGATGGCTGATGTTGATGTAGTATATTGGTTAAGGTGAATGTCATTGTGCTTGTTTGTTGTAGCGTGTCATTTATGAATCAAGCATCATGGTGTTTGGATGGTGGTCCATTTTTAGTGAGCCTCAATCCTATGATGGAGATTTAGTGCGAGTAACTAGTTTCAGGTGGGAATTGGTGAAGCATTACCTATGATGATGGTGAGGATTTTTTGTGTGATTTGATTCTATTGTGGGGATCCGGAGCGAGATGAACCCGAGAGTTCATGATTGGTGCCACATGCATTGAGTCATGGAGTTGAGTCTCGTTGCATTGCATATATGTTATATTTATAATGTTTGGATTGTGTGGAGTGAAAATTGTTGTATGGGATTATATATATGGTATTTATACGTTTACATATTAATATGCAATTTCTTTATATGATTGTGAATTCTCACCCCTTATGTTTGAATGTTTCCTTTACATGGGTAACATGTAGATACTCAGGAGTAGCTTTGATTGAAGTAAGTGGAACGATAGTTCTTGAAATGACTTCTATTAATTATCGTTTATTAGTAGGGTATTGTTCTGGTCATGTAACACCGGGTTAGGGTCGACCTTTATTATTCAACCTATTGTGTTGTTTATTTTGGATTGTTGTTGGAGTCTTAGATTTTATGTTATTGAGAGCCGGATAATATAACTCCCTTGTTTATATTTTCGAAGTTGAGATGAAGTTTATGAGTCTGATGATTTAAATATTATATGTTTAACTGTGTTGTTTTAATTGTGTTGCGAAGTGATGTGATTCAAATGAGTTAGATGTCGTGTAAACATCCCAGATAAGTTATCAGATGGATTTGGATGTCGTGTAAACATCCTAGGTGAAAATAAAGTTACATGATTAACAAGTGTTGATTATTGTGTAAGTGTGACATCCTATGTGAATTTGAAAAATCTCTGATTCATTTTTGGATTATGCGTTGGGGTAAATAGGATGTTACATTTACATTATATAAACTCTTATATTGACTGATTCCTTAATAGTTCCAACCAACACATGTATTAAAAAATTATAGAAAGAGCCTTCCAACTATAATTCAATTTGTTCGTATAATAATTTAGAATGCAATTCAATCAAAATAATCATAAGGTAAAAGTGTTGTTTTTTATAGTTAAAATTATTTTAATTCTAAATAAAAAATAAAAAGTTTTAACAAAAAACCTGCGAGTAAAACCCACCCCATCCCATTTTTTAAGCGGGTTACGTGGGAATACACCAACTTAAGATACCGAGTTGAAAATCTCAGCTCACCCCGCAAAAAAATAATGGGTCAAACTGGTCGGTCCGACAGACTCAATTTATTTTGCCACCCCTACTTATGAATAACAATATCGAATCTTCTAGATTTATAAATGAAATTTTTAGAAAGATTAATGTTATCATTCAAAAAAGAATAAAGACACATCTTATTATCCATTTAACTTTTATTTATGTATAAACTCATTTATTAAATCTATATCTACAATCAAATTAGAAAATTATAAATAAAAATTTATTCAAAAACATTCCTAAAAATCTTAATAAGTTACCAAACTAATAAATGAAAGTAAACTTATCATATTAACCTTCTTAAGAATGACATTTTTCGAATTGTAACTTTTATCTTTCAAACAAACACATCCATTACAATTTTGTTTTGAAAGAAACAAACCCTAAACTCAATAAACAAAATCATTTATTTATTTATTCTATCAAAGAGAAAAAACTAAAAGAACATTAAAATTGCGAATTGCTCGGATTTGGAACTAAACTCACCCCCTTGCGGAACTAACAAAAACTTGCATGATAAACCCTTTACTCCGGTTTGAATTTGAAAACTGGGTTGGTACTTTTCACAAACACTTATCACCCATTCGCAATCGCAGAAGAAGAGACTAGTAGTTCAAGACAAACATGGCCCTTCCCAAAGTTCTCATGGTAACATCTCTCCAATTTCAACCTGCGTTGTTTTCGTAACCTTTATTACTAACTATTATTTTGTGCTATTCATTTCAGGTCGCAGAGAAACCTAGCATCGCACTCTCCATCGCCACCGCTCTTTCCCACGGCCAGGTACTCTCCTACTTTCTCCTTAGCATTTTGTGGATTTATTGCTTTGCTAGATAATCGATCTAAGATGAATAATCAAACAACTATGAGCTGAAAATTGGCTGAAAATTGCAATTAAGCTGCCGAGTTGATTTTTACAATGTCAGTGACGTTTTCTAACACGTTTATATGAACAGATGTCTACAAGAAGAGGAAGCACTGACGTTCATGAATTCGACGGGAGGTTTCTTGGAGCGCATGCGCGTTTCAAAGTGACATCGGTTATTGGACATGTATTCAGGTTCTTTTCCGACTAATTCACAAAGAAAATACTCTTATTTATATACTGTAGTATTTTATGATCCATTCATGCTTCTTTTGTCATTTCTTGTTCTTTATATGGTATGGTAGTCACACTTGATTAAATGTCTGACTGTGAGTACTTATAGGCAAAACAGGAAAAATTATATTATGATGTTGTTTTGTCTGTTTCATGGAAGGAAAAAATAGCGCACTAGTGATTGTTAAATAACCCTAGTTGTTCTACACGAACATCTGTATGGCTTATGGTAAAATTATAGTCATTAGATTATAGCAAGCAGAAATTGTCTTGTTATGTACTGAATATTTTGAAAAATAAACGTCAGTTAATATTGCAATTTGCAAACCACGCTGTTTTGGGTTTTTTTTTATACGAACATGTTCATTCCTGTTTGGTTTGAGTATTCACTGCAGTTTTTACTTCTTTTGTTGATGATCTAGTGTAGATTTTCATGGTAAATATCAAGATTGGGCCACCACAGATCCCTTAGATCTTTTTCAAGCTCAGATTATAAAGACTGAATCAAATCCAAAGGTATTTTCTTTATAAATATTTCTTTTCAGTTTTGGTTCCTCTATATCATTTCATATAATCATTTATGCATTGTTTTGAGCTATTGGGGCAAGATAGATTGAACTTTTATGTGTATTCTTCAACTGAGACCCATTTTGTGATAATTTATATGATCATTACAAGAAATAAGAATGGGTAATAAAAGAATATTTTTTTCGGTAATATGTCTCTTATGTATTTCCTATTGAATGTTGAGGATTTTAAAAAAAAAAGGTCTTCTGAATATTCTAGAGGTTTATTTGGAAAAATTGTTTTAGAACTTTTAAGTGTTTATTTTCATGCTTTTTTGTGTGTTTTCTGATGGCAAATAGATAAAAAAATCTATCCAAAATAGTTATGCATATATAACATCTTAGAATTTTGGGTTAGGCTTAACTCAACCTTACAAAACTGACATGTAAGGCGAGTATTGCCTCCACGATCACATAAACTTATGTTCAGGCCGTACCTCATCCAACATAAAACTTTTAACACACCCCCTCACTATCCAGAATGGACATTAGAAGCGTGACCTCATAGTAGCTGGCCCAACGAACTTTAGATAAACTCTAATACCATTTTAGAATTTTGGGTTTGGCCTTACTCAACCTTACAAAAGCAGTTTGTAAGGAAATAATTGCCCCCACTTATAAACTTACGATAAATGCCATATTTTATCCAATGCGGAAGTCTTAACATACCACGTACTATTAATTGGTTTTCAGAAGTTGTTGGGGGGCTAATGCTTACTGTACAACTCAATGATGCACTGCTCTGTGCATACATACAAAAACAAGGATAGGGCTAAATGAGTAACAAAGGTCCTTTTGACCTTTTGTGTACATACAGCTGGATGAAGAAGTTTATAAACTATAAACATTTTGCTTTTAGAAGTAGAGTCTTAGTAGTTTTGAAAATCGTTGAATTGAAACCAAGAATCTCTATTAGAAGTTGGTCATGTTAGGTGCAATAAAACAACTAATGGGGAAAATGTTAGAGAGCAGACTGATATTTAGAACTGTGATTCTCAATCTGTATACAAACAGTATTGAGATTTATAGACTACTATAAATCTGTCAGAGCTGCAACGGATTGACCGTTCTGCTGTCTGAGATCTGCCACAATAGTATTTGGTTACAAAAGCATTTATGTTGGAAGTTATTAGAGAGATAAGTACAGAATCTGTTGATTCTGTATTATACAGCTCAGCATTCATTGTAAATAATATATGAGTAATTAGCTATTAGTAATTAGTAATTAGTTGTCTTCTACCATATTTAGAATTAGCATTTAAAGGGAGAATTATTGCTCTGATTCTCAGGCCAGATTTAGGATTATTGATCTGTCCCTTGTATTCTATATATACCTTTCATGTATTACTTATCGAATTATCAAAGAAATACAGATTGTCTGTTTCTTTATGGTATCAGTTGCTGGAAGACTTCCTTAGTTTTTTTTTCTTCTTTTGCTTCCGTTTTTTTTCTTTCCATCCCACGTAATGTCTGATCACTTGTCTGATACCGAGTCCCAGCATTCACCCAAACATTCTTCACCTAAAACTGAAATACCTCAATCTGTTAGGACATACCATGAAAATCACCCTGTTCAGATCACAACAATTCGACTGAACGGTCCTAATTATTTTCGGTGGTCACAGTCTGTCCGTTTGTATCTCAGGGGGAGAGGAAAAATTGGCTACATCACTGGAGACAAGAAACAACCAGACAAGGAAGGTGCAGACTACGATAGTTGGGATGCTGAAAATTCCATGGTCATGACATGGCTAGTCAATTCCATGACTGAAGAGATAGGTGTAAACTATCTTTGTTATGCTACTGCAAAAGATCTTTGGGAAAGTGTCTCTCAGATGTATTCCGATTTGGACAACCAATCCCAAATTTATGAATTAACTCTCCAGCTTGGAGAAATTCGTCAAGCTGAAGATTCTGTTACCAAATACTTCAATTGTCTCAAGCGTATTTGGCAAGATTTGGATCTGTTCAATGTATATGAGTGGAAGTCACCCGAGAACTGCAAACACTACAAGAAGATGGTGGATGTTCGTCGTGTCTTCAAGTTTCTTGCAGGTCTAAATATTGAGTTTGATGAGGTTCGTGGCCGAATTCTTGGCAGGAACCCTATCCCTCCAATTGGTGAAGTATTTGTTGAAGTGCGTCGCGAAGAGAGTCGCAGGCAGGTGATGCTTGGAAAAAAGGCTGCCATTGTCCCTCCACCAGTCGAAGGATCTGCATTGGCTGTTCCTCAAGTCAATCGCAAACCTTTCCCTAATCCACGAGGTGGTGACAAGAATCATTTAGTTTGCGACTACTGTGGTCAAAATCGTCACACTCGGCAAAACTGTTTCAAACTACATGGTAGGCCAAATAATAGAAAGGCTGGAAGGTTTGGTGATCGCCCTACGTCTACAACCAATGAGGCTGACTCGTCTCCATTTACTAAGGAGCAAATGGATCACCTTTTTAAACTTCTAAAGTTCAATTCATCACCTAATGTTCCTGTTGCAACTGTGGTACAAACAGGTAAGAATTCTTGGGCATTATCTGTCCAAAACCACTCCAACCCTTGGATAATAGATTCAGGGGCATCTGAACATATGACCAATTGCTCTCATTTATTCAGTTCCTATTTCCCTTGTTCCGGGTCTGAAAAAGTAAGGATTGCTGATGGTAGTTATTCTAGTATTGCAGGCAAAGGCAGCATAAAAATTTCAGAGCAAATTACTTTGCAATCTGTTTTACACGTTCCTAAATTTGCTTGCAATCTTCTATCTGTTCATAAATTGTCTAAGGACACTAATTGTTCTGTGATTTTTCGTTCTTCCACTTGTGTTTTTCAGGACCAGAACTCGGGGAAGACGATTGGAACTGCTAGAGAGATGAATGGATTGTACTACTTTGATGAAACTCCTCTAGGAAATGCAATGTTTTTTGGTTTAAACAGTGCAAGTTTACCTCCTGTTTCAGATCAAGTTATGTTATGGCATAAGAGATTAGGTCATATCCTAGTTTCCCTTATCTTAAGTATTTATTTCCAAAATTTGCCAAAGAGATAAATTCCTCACAATTTCATTGTGAAGCTTGTCATTTAGCTAAAGATCATCGTGTATCTTTTACTTCAAAAATTTATTCTGCTTCGCAACCTTTTTATTTAATCCATAGTGATGTTTGGGGTCCTTCAAAAATTAAAACTATGTCGGGAAAAAAATGGTTTGTGACATTTATTGATGACCATACACGTGTGTGTTGGGTTTATCTCAGAAAAAAAATCTGAAGTGGAACAAAGGTTTAAAGATTTTTTTCAAATGATTGAAAACCAATTTCAAACTAAGATTGGCATTCTAAGGTCTGACAATGGCACTGAATATTTCAACAAATATCTAAGTACATTCCTAGTAGCTAAGGGGATCATTCATCAATCCACTTGTCGTGATACTCCACAACAAAACGGTATTGCTGAAAGAAAAAATAGACATCTCCTCGAAGTTACTAGAGCTATTATGTTTTCTATGAATGTACCTAAATATCTTTGGGGAAATGCCTTATTAACTGCTTGTTACCTAATCAATAGAATGCCATCTCGTGTTTTAAAATATGAGACTCCTATGCAAGTTTTACAAAATTATTTTCCCACATCTCGCATCATTGCGGATCTTCCCCTTAAAGTTTTCGGTTGTCTTTGTTATGTCTACATCCCAAATACTTTCCGTTCCAAATTGGATCCCAAAGCTGAAAAATGTGTTTTTCTTGGCTACGCTTCAAATAAAAAGGGTTACAAATGTTTTAACCCAATAACAAAGAAATTTTTTGAAAGTATGGATGTCAGCTTTGTTGAAAATCAACCTTTTTTTAATAAAAATCATCTTCAGGGGGAGAATCATTGTGTTGATAAAGAAGATAATTTTTGGGAAACTTTACCTGCACTGGATGATATTGTGACAACAAATCATCCAGATACAAAGATAATAGAACCCAGAATGCTTAATCTTGAATTGTCGGATAATATCATGTCTGAAACAGGGGGAGAAAAACTGACTGAGGATCATAATCCTCAAATTCAAGTGTATGTCCGAAAAAGGTTTCACAAAGGTATTACAAATCCAATTGTCGCTCCGGAAAAAATCCAATCTGATTTACCAAGTGAAGGTCCTACTGAAACTTCACCTTCTAGTTCTTCATCTGGTAATCCATCTTACTCTTCCAATGATTTACTGGATTTGTCTTTTCCTAATATTAATCTTCCTATTGCTTTGAGAAAAAAAATTCCTGACCTTAATATCCCAATTGCTGATAGGAAACGTACTCGAACATGCACTAAACACCCCATGTCTAATTATTTGTCATATGACAATTTATCACACACTCACAAGGCATATGTGTCTAGGATTTCGAATTTGTTTGTGCCCAGAACTGTTCAAGAAGCATTAGGTGACCCGAATTGGAAATTAGCAGTGAAAGAAGAGATGGATGCTCTAAGAAAAAATAATACTTGGAGTATCACTGATCTACCTCATAACAAAAGGGCAGTTGGATGTAAATGGGTCTTTACAGTGAAATGCAAGGCTGATGGAAATGTAGAAAGGTACAAAGCAAGGCTAGTAGCCAAAGGTTTTACTCAAACTCATGGTATAGACTACCAAGAGACCTTTGCCCCTGTTGCTAAGATTAATTCCATCAGAATTCTTCTCTCTCTTGCAGTAAATTTCAATTGGACACTACATCAATTTGATGTTAAAAATGCTTTTTTGAATGGAGAATTACATGAAGAAGTATATATGAGTTTACCTCCTGGATTTGAAGAAAATCTTGGACGGGACAAAGTCTGCAAATTAAAAAAATCCTTATATGGATTAAAACAATCACCAAGGGCCTGGTTTGAAAGATTTGGAAGTGTTAAGAAACATGGTTTCACCCAAAGTCAAGCAGATCACACATTGTTCTTTAAACATTCAGATAAAGGTAAGCTTGCTATTTTAATTGTGTATGTCGATGACATTATCATGACAGGAGATGATGTTAACGAGATAGGTGATCTAAAGAGAAGACTTGAAGCTGAATTTGATATCAAGGACCTTGGAAAATTAAAGTATTTTCTCGGGATGGAGTTCGCAAGGTCTAAGGAGGGAATCTTTCTCAACCAACGCAAATATATACTTGATTTACTCACAGAAACAGGGATGACAGGGTGTAAAGCAGCAGAAACACCAATGGATCCCAATGTAAAACTGAAGGCAGCATCTAAAGATGAAGTGGTAAATAGGGAACGCTACCAACGACTAGCCGGTAGACTAATTTATTTGTCTCATACAAGGCCTGATATAGCCTTTGCAGTAAGCGTAATTAGTCAGTTTATGCATGCACTAGGACCTACTCATTTTGAAGCTATTTTCAAAATATTGAAATATTTAAAAGGAACTCCAGGGAAGGGGTTGATGTTCAAAAGCAGAGGGCATATACAAGTGGAGGCTTACACAGATGCTGATTGGGCAGGTAATATAAATGACAGGCGGTCTACTTCAGGCTATTGTACTTTTATAGGTGGAAACTTAGTTACATGGAGAAGTAAAAAGCAAAATGTTGTAGCTAGAAGCAGTGCAGAGGTTGAATTCCGCTCAGTGGCCCACGGTTTTTGTGAAGTATTATGGATTAAAAAATTCATGGAGGAATTGAAGGTCTCTATCCCAACACCAATTAAAGTCTACTGTGATAATAAGGCAGCTATTTCCATTGCCCATAATCCAGTCCTACACGACAGAACGAAACATGTTGAAGTGGACAAGCACTTCATTAAAGAAAAAATTGACAGTGGTGAAATTTGTATGTCCTATGTACCTACCACAAGTCAAGTGGCAGATGTTCTCACAAAGAGTCTTCCAAAGAGACAATTTGATGGTATGGTGAGCAAGCTTGCAATGAATGACATATTCATGCCAACTTGAGGGGGAGTGTTGGAAGTTATTAGAGAGATAAGTACAGAATCTATTGATTCTGTATTGTACAGCTCAGCATTCATTGTAAATAATATATGAGTAATTAGCTATTAGTAATTAGTAATTAGTTGTCTTATACCATATTTAGAATTAGCATTTAAAGGAAGAATTATTGCTCTGATTCTCAGGCCAGATTTAGGATTATTGATCTGTCCCTTGTATTCTATATATACCTTTCATGTATTACTTATCGAATTATCAAAGAAATACAGATTGTCTGTTTCTTTAATTCAAAATAGTATCAACCATCACATCACAGCAACCAAATACCAGACAGCAATTGATGGTTGATACTATTTTAATGCTTTTTTAATGGTGTCGAAAAGCCCCCACCCCCATATTTGAAAGTGTTAGTTCATTAAAGCTTGTTGCTTGTAATTGAGTTTTACTGCATGTGAAGATGTCTTATCTACATTTGATTTTTTTCCAGCAATTTCTCCAAGTTATTAACATCACGTGTTTCATTCAGGCACATATTTGTAAACATTTAAAACAAGAAGCTCGTGGTTGTCATTATTTGGTATTGTGGTTGGATTGTGACCGTGAAGGAGAAAATATATGTTTTGAGGGTAATTTTTGTCTTTTTTCTTTTTAACATTATCACTATCATTGTTGTTATTTTTATTTATTTCTTGATACTTCTATGAGTCTAACCTGTCCATGCTTGTGTTGCAAAATCAAAATATTTATTAGAATATTATAGCATTTATATTGTTTCTTTTTCAGTTATTATATTATTAGGTAGTCAATTATTGTCAATAACATGTAATTAAGTTAGGATCTCTGCAATTAATTTACGATTCTAATTTTTCTTTATTTAAGAGAGAAATCCCCTGTACATTTTTAATACATCAAGAAATTATTCTCCTCTCATTCTACTTGGTATCAGAGCAAGTTCTCTGCAGCCTGCGCCTCTGTACTTCCATGGCTGACAGTTCCTCAGTCAATAGTGAAGAGGAGAATAAAACTCCTAAAAACACGTTGTCTCAAAAAGAGCAAAAAGTTGCTTATGGCAGCGATTCTCATTCTATCCAAATCACCTCTTTTCGACTCAATGGGTCGAATTATTTGAGGTGGTCTCAATCTGTCCAGATGTATATCCGTGGCAGAGGAAAAATGGGATATCTTAATGGTGATCGCACAAAACCAGATGTTAGTGACCCACAACATGATGTATGGGATGCTGAAAATTCCATGGTATTGACATGGTTGGTAAACTCCATGGAAGAGGAAATCAGCAACAACTATCTGTGTTATTCCACAGCGAAAGAATTATGGGAAAGTGTGAAAGAGATGTACTCTGATCTGGAAAATAAGTCTCAGATCTATGAACTTACGTTGAAGGCTAGAGAAATTCGGCAAGGAAGTGATAATGTCACAAAATACTTCCATTCCTTAAAACGGGTTTGGCAAGACCTTGATCTCTTCAACACCTATAAGTGGAAGTCAACTGAGGATGCCAAACACCATCAACAAACAGTGGAAGAAGGAAGAGTTTTCTAGTTCCCTGCTGGCTTCAATGAGGAGTTAGATGAAGTTCGTGGAAGAATCATTGGAAGATCAACCTTATCTTCACTAGGAGAAATGTTTTCTGAAGTTAGAAGAGAAGAAACTCGCAGGAGTGTGATGATGAGAAAGGCAAAAGCTGATCTAAATTCTCCCGAGACTAATGCCTTGATTGCGGATACTGCTGCCTTTAAAAGTTCATCAAATCAGAGGAACACATCTAACCTCTGGTGTGACCACTGCAACAGATCACGTCACACTCAAGAGACCTGCCGGAAACTCCATGGGAAACCAACACATTTGAAAAATGGCAAACCGGGTCCTAGATCTGTCCTTACAGCACATGAGGAAAAAAGTCCTTGCCCAACAAGGATCAAGTTGAGGAGCTCATAAGGTTGCTAAAATCTAGTTCTTTGTCTGGTATTCCTAATGCTTCTTTGGCACAAACAGGTAATTTTGTATCCATACTTCTCTAAGTTGCACCTCAAATATGTATGCACCATGAATCATAGATTCAGGCGCTTCTGACCATATGACCAGCCTTACTTCTCTATTTCAAACATGTTTACCTTGTCCTGGAAATAAAAAAGTTAGAATTGCAGATGGAAGTTTTTCACCAATTGCAGGAGAAGGAAAAATTCCTTTGTCTACGCACATTGATTTAAAAAATGTGCTACACGTACCAAAACTTTCATGTAACCTTCTCTCTGTTAGTAAAATCTGCAAAGACTCAAATTGCAATGTGAAATTTTTTAACACTCATTGTATTTTTCAGGACCAGAATTCGGGGAAGATAATTGGCAGTGCTAAAATGATGGATGCACTCTATTACTTTGAGGATTTTTTGAGAATAAAGTGGCTCATGGCCTTAGTGGTATCAGTTCTACCTCTGTGAGGGATCAAATAATGCTCTGGCATAATAGACTAGGGCACCCTAATTTTCAATATCTTAGGCATTTGTTTCCAGATTTATTCAAAAATGTTAATGGTTCTTCTTTTGAATGTGAAAGTTGTGTTCTTTCTAAAAGTCACAAAATTCCTTATTCCTCTCGACCTTATCATGCATCCAAACCTTTTTATTTAATCTATAGTGATGTATGAGGTCCCTCTAAAATTACAACTCAATTTGGAAAAAGGTGGTTTGTGACCTTTATTGACGGCTATGTTGGGTCTATCTTATGAAAGATAAATCTGAAGTACCAGAGATATTTAGATATTTTTCAAAAATGATAGAAATTCAATTTAATGCAAAAATCTCCATTTTGAGAAGTGACAATGGTACTGAATATTTTAATAAAAACCTCAGAGTTTTTTCAACATAAAGGTATTCAACATCAATCAACATGCCCAAATACGCCTCAACAAAATGGCATAGCTGAAAGAAAGAATAGACATCTTCTTGAGGTAGCTCGTGCCATTATGTTTGAGAGCAATGTTCCTAAATTTTTATGGGGGGATGCGGTTCTAACAACATCGTATCTCATAAATAGGATGGCCAATCGCGTGTTAAGTTATCGCACACCATTGGATGTTTTCAAAACTTTTTTTCCGGCATGTCAATTGCATATTGGTTTACCTTTAGAAGTGTTTGGTTGTACTGTTTTTATGTACACCGGACTCTCGGTCTAAACTAGATTCAAGAGCTGAAAAATGTATTTTTGTTGGTTATTCTCCCAACCAAAAAGGGTACAAGTGTTACAATCCTAACACAAAGAAACTTCATGTTAGTATAAATGTCACTTTCTTAGAACTACAACCTTTCTATCACAAAAATTCCCTTTAGGGGGAGAATGTCAATGAAGACAATTTTTTAAGTGATAACAATTTGAATGAACCTTTGCCAAATCCTGTTATTAACATTGAGGATATAGAGTTAATTGATCACACAATTGCACATAAAGAAGTAGAACATGTGGAAACAGATCCTGAAATTGGTAAGGGAAACCTTGTCCCAGGCTTAGGTGGTGCCCAAATAGGGAAAGAAATACCAAAATCAAAACAAGAGCTTCGTGTTTATGCTCGAAAATATCCTAAAAAGGTCAGAGTTCGTGTTTATGCTCGAAATATCCTAAAAAGGTCAGAAGTCAATCCATCACCTGGATGGTTCTATGGCTGAATACTTGGGTCGTGTTCAAGGTCTTCTTCATGATTTCAATGAATTATTGCCCCCAGCTGCTACCACTGCTAAGGAACTTGAACAACGTCGATCCTTCTTCATGCTTCTAGCTCTGTATGGCCTACCTCCAGAGTATTCGTCTGTTCGCGATCAGATATTGGGGTCTCCTACAATCCCCACTCTGGATACTGCATGGTCTACTTTGCTACGTGTCCCAGCAAAACCATCATCTGATGGCGGAGTCCCACCCACACCAGTTGATTCATCTGCTTTGGTTTTTCAAGGAGGTAATCGTGCTCCGGGTGGTGATCGTGGCCACTTTCAGAAGACTGGAAAGCCTCGTCCTAAGTGTGATCATTGTCATAAGCTTGGCCACACTATCGATCGGTGTTATGCTTTACATGGACGTCCCTCTCCTCGGACTGCCCACGTTGCCCAGACCGCTCCACCTCCACAGGCTGCTACTCCGACTGATTCTGCCACCTCACCTGCTATCTTTAACGACTTTATCAAGTGGTATGAGGAGCGTCAGGCCGCTAGTTCCACTGCATCTGTTGCGCACACGGGTAATTCTTTTGCTGGTCTTTCTCACTCCACATCTCTTGGCCCATGGATCCTTGATTCAGGCGCCACTGATCACATTACTGATAATAAATCTCTTTTTTCTTCATTCTCTACTTCTGGTTTATTACCCTTTGTCACATTAGCAAATGGCTCCCAAACTCAATCTCAGGGTACTGGTACTATCCACCTTTTTCCCTCGCTCTCCATTACTAATGTTCTTTATGTACCCGGATCTCCGTTTAACTTATTGTCTCTAAGTCGTTTGACTCGATCTCTTGATTGTACTATCTCATTCACCAAAGATTCTTTTTTCTTGCAGGACCGGAGTTCGAGACGGATGATTGGCACCGGATGTGAGTCTAATGGTCTTTATCTTCTTCAACCATCTGCACATGTTGGTTCCGTGGTGGATTCTCCCCTCCTGGTTCATGCTCAGTTGTAACTACAAAAGTTGGTGCCCAACCTTTCCAAGTTATCTACGTTATCTTGCGAGTCTTGTCAATTAGGAAAACATGTTCGTAGTTCTTTTCCGAGTCGTGTCAATCGTCGTTCTAAGTCTCCGTTTGCTCTAGTTCATTCGGATGTTTGGGGTCCTAGTCGCATTGTTTCCACTTTAGGGTCTAAGTATTTTGTTACCTTCATTGATGATTATTCTCGATGTACCTGGTTATTTTTAATGAAAAATCGATCGGAGTTATTTGCTATTTTTCAAACATTTTATAATGAAATCAAAAATCAGTTTGGTATATCCATTAGTACTTTGCACAGTGACAATGCTCGAGAATATTTATCTACTCAATTTCAAACTTTTATGGCTACTAACGGTATGCTTCATCAAACGTCTTGTGCTCACACACCACAACAAAACGGAGTCGCTGAACGTAAAAATAGACACCTAGTTGAAACCACTAGGACACTCTTACTTCACAATAATGTTCCTCAACATTTTTGGGGTGATGCTGTCCTTACGGCTTGTTATCTCATAAATAGGATGCCATCATCTGTCCTCAACAACCAGATCCCTCACTCTATTCTATTTCCTCACCAGTCTCTTCACCCATTACAGCCTAGACTTTGGGTCTACATGTTTTGTCCATAATGTTAGTCCCGGGCTAGACAAACTCTCAGCTCGTTCTCATAAGTGTGTGTTCTTAGGCTATACAAGATCTCAAAAGGGATATAAGTGTTACTCCTCGTCTCTTCGTCGATATTTCGTCTCTGCTGATGTCACATTCTTTGAGTCAGTCCCTTACTTTGGGACGTCTACAGGGTCTGAGTCCCTATCACCCATGTTTTCTTCATCTCCCACTACTGCCCCACCAAACGTAGTTCTGTCTCCTTTACCAGCCAATCCACCCCCATTAGCTCCTTTGCAGGTTTATCGGCGTCGACCACGGCCACCTCCACTACCATCAACTAATGCAGAAATCACCACAGACTCCCCTCCGGATCCAACTCCTTCGTCCCCTCCGGTCCTGCCCCCTGAGACTGATCTCCCAATTGCACTTCGCAAAGGTATACGTTCCACTCGTAATCCATCTCCTCATTATGTTAATTTGTCTTATCATCGCTTGTCTTCTTTGCATTATGCTTGTATTTCCTCTTTGTCTTCTGTGTCTATTCCCAAGACTGTAGGTGATGCTTTATCTCACCCTGGCTGGAAACAAGCTATGCTTGATGAGATGTGTGCTCTTCAGAACAGTGGCACGTGGGACCTTGTTCCTCTTCCTCTTGGAAAATCTGTTGTAGGTTGCAGGTGGGTTTTCACAGTCAAAGTTGGTCCTGATGGACAAGTTGATCGTCTCAAGGCACGTTTAGTGGCCAAAGGTTATACACAGTTGTTTGGCCTAGATTATGGTGACACCTTCTCTCCCGTGGCTAAAATGGCCTCGGTTCGATTATTTCTCTCTATGGCAGCTATTCGCCACTGGCCCCTTTACCAGCTTGACATCAAGAACGCATTCCTCCATGGTGATTTGTGTGAGGAAGTTTATATGGAGCAACCTCCTGGGTTTGTTGCTCAGGGGGAGTCTTCTGGACTAGTTTGTCGTCTTCATAAGTCTTTGTATGGACTTAAGCAATCTCCTAGGGCTTGGTTTGAGAGATTTAGCACTGTTATTCAAGAGTTTGGTATGACGCGATGTGAAGCTGATCATTCAGTGTTTTATCGTCACTCAGTTGTTGGGTGTATTTACTTAATTGTGTATGTGGACGACATTGTCATTACAGGTAATGATCATCATGGAATCACACAGGTAAAACAACACCTTTGTCATCATTTCCAGACAAAAGACCTCGGCAGACTTCGTTATTTCTTGGGCATAGAGATTGCCCAATCCAAACAGGGAATTGTGATTTCACAAAGGAAGTATGCTATGGATATTTTGGAGGAGACATGTCTGTTAAATTCCAAGCCAGTTGACACTCCGATGGATCCCAATGCTAAACTTATGCCAGCTCAGGGGGAGCCACTCTCCGATCCTGGAAAATATAGAAGATTAGTTGGAAAACTGAATTACCTCACTGTTACTCGCCCAGATATTTCATTTCCTGTTAGTGTGGTAAGTCAATTTCTTAACTCTCCTTGTGAAGGGCATTGGGAAGCTGTGATTCGCATCTTGAAATATATTAAAGGAGCTCCAGGAAAAGGCTTACTCTATGAAGACAAGGGACACACTCGAGTTGTAGGATACTCAGATGCAGATTGGGCAGGTTCTCCTTTTGATAGGAGATCCACCTCAGGTTATTGTGTTTTCTTGGGTGGTAACTTAATTTCCTGGAAGAGTAAGAAACAAAGTGTAGTGGCAAGGTCAAGTGCGGAAGCAGAATATCGAGCCATGGCAACAACAACCTGTGAGCTTGTATGGCTTAAACAATTGCTTCACGACCTGAGATTCGGGGATGTTTCACAAATGACACTTATTTGTGACAATCAGGCAGCTCTGCATATTGCATCAAATCCAGTGTTCCATGAGAGAACCAAACACATTGAGATTGATTGTCATTTCATCAGAGAGAAGATTTTATCTAGAGATGTCAGCACTAGTTTTGTCAATTCAAATGATCAGTTAGCTGACGTTTTCACTAAGCCTTTGAGAGGTCCTCGAATTAATTATATTTGTAACAAGCTTGGTGCATATGATATATATGCTCCAGCTTGAGGGGGAGTGTTAGATATCGGAATATTCCATATTATGTAAATAGAATATTCTGTAAGTAATTAGGATATTATGTAAATAGGAAATAAAATATTATGGAATTATTATAGAATATTATGTAATTACTATGGCATTTATGCCTCCTATTATATATAATGAGCTCCGATGTGTAATTCAAACACACGGATTCAATCCAACCTTCCTCTTGTTCTCTCATTATTCAACAGAGAGATTTAGCACTGTTATTCAAGAGTTTGGTATGACGCGATGTGAAGCTGATCATTCAGTGTTTTATCGTCACTCAGTTGTTGGGTGTATTTACTTAATTGTGTATGTGGACGACATTGTCATTACAGGTAATGATCATCATGGAATCACACAGGTAAAACAACACCTTTGTCATTATTTCCAGACAAAAGACCTCGGCAAACTTCGTTATTTCTTGGGTATAGAGATTGCCCAATCCAAACAGGGGATTGTGATTTCACAAAGGAAGTATGCTATGGATATTTTGGAGGAGACAAGACTGTTAAATTCCAAGCCAGTTGACACTCCGATGGATCTCAATGCTAAACTTATGCCAGCTCAGGGGGAGCCACTCTCTGATCCTGGAAAATATAGAAGATTAGTTGGAAAACTGAATTACCTCACTGTTACTCGCCCATATATTTCATTTCCTGTTAGTGTGGTAAGTCAATTTCTTAACTCTCCTTGTGAAGGGCATTGGGAAGCCGTGACTCGCATCTTGAAATATATTAAAGGAGCTCTAGGAAAAGGCTTACTCTATGAAGACAAGGGACACACTCGAGTTGTAGGATACTCAGATGCAAATTGGGCAGGTTCTCCTTCTGATAGGAGATCCACCTCAGGTTATTGTGTTTTCTTGGGTGGTAACTTAATTTCCTGGAAGAGTAAGAAACAAAGTGTAGTGGCAAGGTCAAGTGCGGAAGCAGAATATCGAGCCATGGCAACAACAACCTGTGAGCTTATATGGCTTAAACAATTGCTTCACGACCTGAGATTCAGGGATGTTTCACAGATGACACTTATTTGTGACAATCAGGCAGCTCTGCATATTGCATCAAATCCAGTGTTCCATGAGAGAATCAAACACATTGAGATTGATTGTCATTTCATCAGAGAGAAGATTTTATCTAGAGATGTCAGCACTAGTTTTGTCAATTCAAATGATCAGTTAGCTGATGTTTTCACTAAGCCTTTGAGAGGTCCTCAAATTAATTATATTTGTAACAAGCTTGGTGCATATGACATATATGCTCCAGCTTGAGGGGGAGTGTTAGATATCGGAATATTCCATATTATGTAAATAGAATATGCTGTAAGTAATTAGGCTATCATGTAAATAGGAAATAGAATATTATGTAATTATTATGGCATTTATGCCTCCTATTATATATAATGAGCTCCGATGTGTAATTCACACACACGGATTCAATCCAACCTTCCTCTTGTTCTCTCATTATTCAACACCAATCACCCTCCCCGAGATCAAATCCTGAAATACACAATGAGTATCAAAGAAATGAGCTTGACAGTTTTTATTTGTGGTTAGCTTATTGACAAATAATAAGTTGCAAGACAAATTTGGGACATGTAACACATCTTGGATGGTTAGTAAGGTAGACAAAACAATAGAACCTTTTCCTGTCATGGCTGAAAGAGAGCCATAAGCTATTTCAATTTTAGAATTTCCTGCACATGGTTTATATGAAGAAAATAAACTGGATTCACCGGTCATATGATCGGTGGCTCCAGAATCAACGATCCATGTACGATTAGGAATGACACTAAAATGGGCTGATTAGGAATGATACTAAAATGAGACTCAAGGAATTTGTATATTTGGTCTAGCTGTTCCTTAGTGAATGGAAATGCATTTGGGGAAGACTGTGGCTCTTGATCAAAAGTTGCTTGAAGTGCACGACCCTCACCCTTCTTTTTCCAATTAGGAGGCTTTCTATGAATTTTCCAACAAGTCTCACGTGTGTGATAATAACGTTCGCAGTGATCACACCAGAGTTTACCATCTTTCTTACCATATTTTTTGTTGTCTTTATTAAAGTTGTTTTTGACAAGGGCAGAACCATCAGTTGCTGAGTTTGACTTTCCCATCATTACTCTTTGCCTAGCCTCCTCCTTTCTGATTTTTGAAGAAGTTTCTCGGATAATTGGCAGCGGATTATTTCCAAGAATTCTACCTGTTACTTCATCGAGTTCCTTGTTGAGACCAGCAAGAAAAATAAAGACACGGTCGTTCTCCTGCGTTTTAATAAACTGAACGTTGTCTTCAGTACACCTCCAGTTATAATCATAGTACTGATCCAACTCTTGTCAAAGGGCCATCAATTTATTATAGTAGGTAGTGACATCCATGTCATTCTGCTTTAAATTCCATAACTTTGGTTTTAGATCATAAATTTGAGAGAAACTTTTAATACTAGAGTAAGATAGTTTTACAACATCCCAGACATCTTTTTCTGTAGGTAGATACATGTCTGTTTTTCTCATACCTACCTCCATAGTGTTAATATGCCAAGCAATAATAGAAGAGTTTTCAGATTTTCAGAACCTGTAATTAAGATGTGTTGTTGCAGGCATCGAAACATCACCTGTAAGAAAACCCAACTTCCCTTTGCCTTCTAGAATAAGTCGAACAGTTTGGGATCATTCAACGTAGTTTGAGCCATCCAGTTTCTGAACATTAACCCGAAGAGAGTTATTTTGACCTCCACCTCCTGAGTTACTGTAACCACCATCAAATGAGTAGCCATAACCGGACCCAAGAAGGTTGTTGTTGGGATCACCTTGTCATAACCGAACACACCGTCACAATTGTTGTTTGTCATGAAATTGGGCATTTCTGGCATGATACTTCCTCTGTCGGAATTGTTGGTGCCGCCAGAATTGACGTTGGCGCCGCCGTCAGAATTGTTGTTGGCGCCGCCTCCACGACCTCCGGCAGGAGGTGGTTTTTGCGTAGGGTCCACCATAGTTTGGATTGGTCGGGTCGGATAAAAGAACGGGTCGCCACGAACCCCACTAGTTAGGGAAAGCTTTACAGTATCCCTAGCCCTAACAGAGTTCATGATACCATGTAGAAAAGCATATGGGTGATAATTGTCTATTTTATTATGAATGAAAAAAGGCTCCTTTTATAAGAGAAAATACAAAGACAACTCCTTTATTTTAGGAGTGATATAATGACTCTTAAAAGAATATAATGACTCTTAAATAAGAAAATAAATAATACTAAAAAAGATATATTGAATCTTCACAAAAAGAAAGTAAAAGACAATCGCCCTTAAGTTATGTCCATTTGCTTAGATATTCCTCTAGGTAGTAAAAAGGGGTTTTTCGGCTAACATTAGCCTTGTATGCCAAATTTCATTTTGGATTTGTAAGCACTTGACCCTGTGTTAAACTAAGATAAATTTTTTTACCCAGAATCTTGCCTTTTTTTATAGTGTTTTTTTAGCGATTTATATCAAATTTCAAACAATGTAACAAATACCAACATATACTAAGGCTAACATACTAATACTTGTCATTCCCCAATTATTCCTAACTGTCTGAAATATTGAATGTTGCAGTTATAGAATCAACCGGTTTCAAAATAAATGATGTCTATCGCGCACGGTTTTCTTCTGTTACTGAGAAAGATGTTCTGAATGCTCTAGCCAACCTTGTCAGACCGAACAGGGACGAAGCAATGGCTGTAGATGCCAGGCAAGAGATAGATTTGAAAGTTGGAGTTGCCTTTACGCGATTTCAAACAAGTTTTTTCCAGGGGAAATATGGGAACCTAGATGCCAGAGTTATCTCGTTAGTTTTCTGCTCTCTTCTGTCATTTATTTTCTGTTCCGCCATTTCTCTAATTAGTTTTTCTTTAAGTTTAAAAATTGACGAAGGTTGGCTTCTCGTTATTTTAGATTTATTGGAAAGTAAAATAATGCAACCTGTGCACGATCCAGATTAACAGTGACTTGAATAAAGATTCACTACTCAATGCTTCAAATATATACCCTGCTTCTATAATAGTGTAAACAAATATTAGCGAGTTAGTGTGATTTGAGTGAGAGGTTACTTATTTAGGCTTGGAACTTTAGCAATCTCAGATAGTTGAGGACTTCAACCACAGAAAACTGCCAAGTATGTTGAGATCACCAGGCTTAAGGCTTCATTTTGATTCTGCTAGTTCAAAAAAAAAATGATTTGGACTGACCAGCTTTTGGTTCTCACAATTTTACAGGTTCTCACAATTATACAAGTGGTTGAGATTATATGAATCCATTTTCTTTTTAGCTCTAGCTTTTATGACAGTTAATAGTATGACATGGTATCCTAATTTGATCCTTTATCAGTATTTAACTCAAGTAGCTGGTCATCCCTTTTTAATCAATCAGTAACTATGCATTTACTATGTGACCTTGATGTGCTTTGTTATGTTTTCCTGTTCATGTTTCAATTATACGTTTAGGAATTGGGATTGGTTAGGTTGCCAGGCTGGATATGCATTGCCAACAGATAATGCAAAATGCAATATCGTACTCCACCAGATTTACTGGCTTTTCAACTCTATTCAACTGTAGGAATGATCACGTTTCTCTAAATGTCTGATCAACCAACATACTTGTCATTATATCATATTGGTTAAGCATAGAGGACATTATTAATAGTTGCTTTTATATTTCAGCTATGGACCCTGTCAAACTCCAACTTTAGGATTTTGTGTGCAGCGGTATTTGCAAATAAATACTTTCAAGCCAGAAAAGTTTTGGAGTTTGCACCCTTACATAATTCAAAGCGGCTATGAAATTCTGCTAGAATGGCAACGCAGCAAATTGTTTGACATAAATGTGAATATTTCTATTCTCTCAAACCATCGGGTTCTTTATCTTGAACTTATGAAAGATGTCTGTTTGATAGTTTTATGCCTTTTCAGGTTGCTATGATGTTTCAAAAGCTGGTTGCTGAAGATGGGATTCTGGAAGTGACTGATATATCAGAAAAACAGGAAACCAAAGGTCGCCCTGTTGGTCTAAACACAGTGAATCTTCTGAAGGTTGGTGATCAAATGGGGAAGATAGTGGTCAATTCTTTAACAAGTAATAGCAACAGTTTAAAGGAATATTAGATGCAAAGTTTCATTATTATTATATATTAAATGTATCCTTCAAAGCTAACTGGTATTGGGAATACATATTATGGGTCAGCAAGTGGCAGACTAAATACTTTTTTGCAGTGACATTTATCCTTGGTTGGGGACTAGTTATGCGAGTAATGTTGCTTGAGGTTTTCTTTTTCTATTGTCAATTTCTCACTGCAATGGAGGATGTCTTATCCGTTTATATTTGATAATTTTTTTCTTTCTTTAGTAGCATTTTAAACCCAATATATCTTTTTCTCCTCTGATGTGATGCTTAAAATCGAACAGAAGAGTTTGACTTCATTTTCTAAGAGAATTGAAATGGTTATTGTATATCTAGCTTTCTTTTTACTACAACTGTTTGATAAAACAACTTGATTACAATGTTTGTTCTTTCCAGGTTGCTTCAAGTGCTTTAGGATTTGGTCCTCAGACAGCTATGCAACTAGCTGAACGATTGTATACTCAAGGCTTCATCAGGTTTTCACATAATTTGTTAGTCTATTGTACTATAATGTAAGATTTTCTTAAAAGCATAATAATCTTTGATTGGTTCCTGTATGTGCCTTCTTAAGTTATCCACGAACAGAAAGCACTGCATACCCTCCGTCATTTGACTTCCGTGGTGCACTCTCTGCACAAAGAAATAATCCAACTTGGGGTAACTATGTAGAAGGGCTACTCACCAGTGGTTATCAGAAACCTCGATCGGGAACAGATGTGGGTGACCATCCTCCCATTACTCCAATGAGATCTGCATCAGAGGATATGCTAGGTAATGATGCTTGGAAGCTGTACCAATATATCTGTCAATACTTCATAGGGACAGTGTCTCCGGACTGCAAGTATGTAAGGTACAATCTATACTGTCCTAGCAACATTTCTTGATTATTTCCTTTTATGGTTTTAGTTCATTCAGTTATTCCTTAAATGTCCATTGTTTTCAGAGACATTCTGGTTTATTTATGCTTATTATGGTCTCTCCTTGGTCATATTTAATCATTATGATAATGATAATGGCAAGCAATACTAAATTACTAATACTGAGGTCAAAACATTCTGTATCAACTTAATAGCCCAAGACAATATCTCTTCTTAAGTTCATGATATGTATGCTCTGGAGCCTATTGAAATTTCCTCTCTTGGAGTTTGCTCTTGTATGATAGCTGCAAACATGCATATGATAGAGGATGCGGGATGTGGCTTCCTCCAATTTTTTTTTGCTAATACAATAAATTCGTAATCCTATAATTGTTTGGTATTATATTGGCATAATATTTGCATTTTTCTATCCAAGCTTAATCTTTGTTTGAACTTTTTCCAATATTCACCTATAGATGCTTTGTCTTATTGGATAAATGGGATAACTACTACTATTAAATTTCATATACGCTATTGTCCTACTTCCAGGAAAAAGGTTGAGTTTTCAGTTGGTGGAGAGTCCTTTCATTGTACAGGCCAGCATGTTATAACCAAAGGATTTACAGCTATTATGCCTTGGTTGGCAATAAATGATAAAAGTATTCCATCATTTACAAAAGGAGAGAAAATAGAAGTATCAAAAGTTGAGCTCTATGAAGTAAGTGTCGAACCTCCTGCCTCAAATTCAGTTTCTGTATGGTGTTCGATATGTCCTAACTACTTGTTGTTAGTTTTACTTATTTGGGGGGGTTGGTGGTGTTTTCAGTAAGCCACCAAGCGGGTCTGTTCATGGGTCATAATTGGATGCAAATAATAAACATTTGGGCTGGATCATATATAACCGTTTCATGGAAGATAAAATGATAAGCCTCATGTCAAATAATATTTGTATGTATTACTGTTAGCTAACACCACGAATTCAACAGGGGAATACCACACCTCCAGATTTTCTTACTGAGAGTGAGCTGATTTCTCTAATGGAGAAGAATGGAATAGGAACAGATGCATCAATTCCTGTACATATTAACAATATATGTGAGCGAAATTATGTGCAGGTAGTCAACATAGAGCTGTAGTTTGTGTTTCATTTTCTACAATGCTTGGATATTCATCTTATCAAATTGCAGGTACAAGCAGGCAGGAAGCTTGTCCCAACCACATTAGGGATAACTTTAGTAAGAGGTTATCAATCAATTGATCCAGACCTCTGCCTGCCTGATATCCGTAGCTTTATTGAGCAACAAATTACTCTTATAGCTAAGGGGCAGGTAGATCATCATCGTGTGGTGCAGCATGTAATTGAACAGTTCAAGCAAAAGTTTTCTTACTTTGTCAAGAAGGTTGACTATCTACTTTTTAGTGCTTGTTTTTGGTCATCATATGTATCTATATGATTCTTCTTAATTTTCACAGCATGAAATGTTTTCATTTGTGATTTTATCTCAACTAAATAATGTTTCTCGATTTAAGTTTGTTTTCTTCCCCAACCTGAACATCATTTACCTTTGGGTTTTGAACTTGTTTGATTAAAAATTTAAAATGATTTCATGTTCTTGTTTTAAGTTAGATAGGAATAATTGGATTGGGCGATGTTTTATATATGTTCCCGTTATCTATTATTTTCCTGGTTTGTTTCCATCTTTTACGTTTTATTTTTGACATCTGTTTCTGTCAAATTTTTTATTTATAAATTTATGGAGCTTAGTATTTATTATGATGCAACTCCAATTTTATCAGCATGCTAAATAACTTTCTCTTTATTTTTCAAGCCAACATAAAATATAATTGCATTCTAATTTTAACCTTTTGTGGGAAAATTTCCACACACGACTCATTCTAAAATAGCCTTTCAAGTTTCTCTATAGAGTTGTATCTGTTTGAACTGGGGTCAAGGATATACTTTCTTAGAATACAAGTACTAATTCTTGATGTATGACATCAGCAGCATAGTACTTGAAGATTCATGTTTAATTCATTACATTAGTATAGTGGAATAGTTGTTATATTTTAGGGTTAAGTTTTGAAACAATACTATTGTAGAATTATATGGGCCCAGGAGATTGCTGAGCGAACTTTTTAGCATCTATCTGTGAGCTGCAGCATGTGGGATTTATTTAATAATGAGATGTTCTGTGGCTTCCTTCTATATTCTTTCATCTCCAAATTTATTAGACCCCGAGTCACCATAATATTTTCAAATAAGTTGCTGATTCATGGATGTATTTTACTCTTCATCCACTAATTGTGTTTCTTTTTATCTGGCTCAGATTGAAGCCATGGATGCACTATTTGAAGCGCAGTTTTCTGCACTTGTTGATTCAGGGCGTATTATGAGTAAATGTGGTAAATGCTTGCGATATATGAAGTATATTTCTACCCAACCACCACGGTTGTATTGTGGTACATGTGAGGAAGTTTATTATCTTCCACAGAAGGGCACAATAAAGGTAGTATATCATATGATATATAACCTGTTTAATAGTATCAAAATATGACTTCCAGCTTATCCTATCTTTTCCTCTTTGTTTCTTCTTATCATACATGATATTTTGATATTTTAAAGTGTCGAGATTTGTTTCTTTAGATAAGGAAGGAGGGAGGAGAAAGTACAGCAGATTTGAATTATGGTTTGATGCAAAAGACTAGCCACTAACCCTTCTTTATATAAATATACTCTTAATCCTAATTAGATAAGGAAACTAATCATAATGATTACTAGACTCCTAGTTCTGATCAAATAAAGAAAGTAGAAACAAATCATGGAATATAAATAAATATGAAAACTAATCCTAAGATAATATAAGATATTGTAAATAACTTTAAAATACAACCCAGGTATTATGAGATATTTTCTTAATATTTTATCCTAAACTATCTATTTAAACCCTATATTTATACATAGTTCTGAACAATAAGCCTGCTGTTTTCACCTGTTGTCCCTGGTAAAACAGTCCAGCTGTTGTAAACTGTGAAATGGTTTCTATCAAAAGAAAATAATATGTTGACCAGTTGGTTTCTGATCAACTAATATCTTCCTTTTTCTTCCCTCTGGTTATTCTGAAAAGTAAAGATATATCCTCTCTTTCTGTTTATAGTTTGTCTCTCATATTCGAACAAAACCCTGATATTTTAAGCACTCAAGACCATTAGAGTTTGCCATTTCATTATCATAATCTTTGTTATAGCTTTTAAACTTAGGTCTCTCCCTCAGAGTAGTTGCATTGAACAGCCGAGCCCTGTCAGTGACTCAAGATTGTTATGACCATCATTACATGTATGTACTAGCACGTGCCTGTGACTTCTCTGGCTTGTCCGGTTTGCCGGGCATGACCTAGAGGGCTTGCAGCATGCCTTTTCATCATTCATTCCTTGCTAGCTTTGGCCGAACACGTAAGCATTTATTTGCTTTACTACTTGGGACACCTTCACAGAAGTATTTAGCGAAGGTATGAATGAAAATGTATTGGGTATCTGTAATTTGAGGTTTAAGAACTTTGCTCCTGCGGGTTGAGTAATACCCGATTAGCAACATTACGTTGGAAGGTTAAAAGTGATTGGGAGAAAATCATGACATCTTCCCATTTGATATTCAACATTTTCATTATGCATTTGAGTTTGCCTTTATTGCTTTATTATATTGCGTGACGTGCCCAATATCTGTTATCCTCATTTGCACTATCTGTTTCTGCAGCTGTACAAGGAACTGTCTTGTCCTTTAGACAATTTTGAGCTTTTGATCTGCTCCGTGGCTGGCCCAGAGGGTAAATCATTCCCACTATGTCCTTACTGCTACAGCAATCCCCCATTTGAAGGTATCGAAGCTCTCATCAATACGTCTAAAACTAGTACGTCTGGCAAGATTGGCAAGGGAGCTGGCATGCCATGCAACCTATGCCCCCATCCCACTTGCCCAAATTCTTTAGTTACCCAGGGTGTATGTGCTTGCCCAGAATGCAGTGGGACACTTGTCTTAGACCCTATAAGTGCTCCCAAATGGCGACTTTGTTGCAATATGTGCAATTGCCTAGTTTTTCTTGCAGAGGGTGCTCATAGAATCTCGACAACTAAAGAAAAGTGCCTTGAATGCGACTCTTCAATCATAGAAGTGGACTTCAACAAGAAAACAACTCCTCTGGCAGACGGGGCTACGTTACACCGAGGTTGCATTCTTTGTGATGTATTACTACATTCCCTTGTAGAAATGAAATATGGAAGAGGCTTCAAGCGTATGAGTTCACGTGGAAGAGGAAGAGGAAGGGGAGGAAGGGGAGGAAGAGGAAGAGGACGGGGTGGTAAAATGATGGATCCGAAAATGAGTTTTCGAGATTTCTAGTTTAAAACATGTTTTTGAAATTTTTTGCAACACATTGTTAAACTATCATTTGATTCATTTACTATTAGTTCGTTCTTAGCATAATTATCTTTGTTGTTTGGCTCCCCCGTCTATTTCAAGAACAAATACAAAATGAAACTTTTAAAATTTATGTTTCTTAAGGGTAATATGTTGATTTTTTTAGTGGTATTGGGGATTGTCTGATGTAAAGAACACTGTTTTGCATCTTGAACGATTAAGATTACTCTAGCTATAAAACGAACTCAACCACACACATTTGAGATCAAATAGTCCTGATCAGTTACCACACTGACCGGGAGCCTCACATACTATGAAATCAGTCTTAATTGTATCGTCATTAAACAGTCAACCATATGCATAACATAGACTAACAATTAAAATTGAAATTCCATAATAGTGAGGACCGTAGTATGGATCGATGGTCAGATGTTTTTTGATACACAAGATCTTCGTGTTGAGGCAAGTGTATAGCATACTTGCATCTGTATGGAGAATTATGACATGAATACAATAACTAAAGCTTTTAGGGAGAAAGAAAAGAGAGTTAGAATATTTTGTTCTTAAGCACACAAGATGGTTTTTATTCTTATTGCTTATCCTGAAACATTATAAGAGGTCTCCTTGTATAGCCAAGGAGATTTACAAAAGACAAAACCACATTATTTACAAATATGACATCATTAATGTCTTCTTCCAAAAGTCTGACACATTTATCTCTTATGGATAAATTATTGTAGTATTATTACACAAAAGGACGAAACTTAACTATTTATAAACATGCTTGTGATTAATAAAAGACACTTGTCCAATTAGTCTTTAAAGATAGGTTCATGACTTTGAGACATATTCTAATCGGATAAATATTCTTCTGAAAAGCAGTCTCCGTATTGAGATGTCTCTTTTTTTCACACGTCATCTATCATGTAAGCATGGTCTGATATTTTTCCATGAACTTCTTCCACGTGTCCTTCTGAGAATTCAACTTTCATTGGGGAATCTGCTTTTTGTTGTGTGACTTGAACTGAGCTTTCTCCAACCTCTCGATTTTTATATTGAGCTTGATGACTTATACAAGTGGAGTTAGCATTCATCTTGTTTGGTTCACGGAGGTTGATGAAGTTAACATATTCCATTAATTCTCTTGTGACTTTTAGATTTGGAGGATAATCATCAATGGTTTCCCATATATGAATATAATTCTTACAACCAAGTAACTTAGTGGCAGGATCTGTTTGATAGGGCCTGTGCATGAAGAAAATAATCTTGAATTTGCTAATAGCCTCTAAGGCTAACCCTCTTTCTTTGATCTCGTCTAAGATTGGTTTTAATTGATTTTTCCACCATGTTAGCGGAGAGTACCATTCAAGAGTAGTCTAAATCAAGGATTTGTGGTTCTTAGGATCCATTATGTGTTCATACATGGCTTCGGTAGGTATGAGGACAGGCATAAAATATAAAGCAGTGGCGCACCAGATATACCACAAATGGTTTTTTGTGAATTTAATATTAGGGTTTATTAAAATTGGTAGGAGAAATGGTGTGTCTGGGAAATAAGGAGTATGGTCAGGGAGTTTATTCCTTATGATTTTTGTCATATAATAAAAAAGATTATTTCTGGCATACTGCTTAAGCTGTGAGGGTGAAAAGGATACAGTTACTCCTGGAGGAAAGTCTTTGGTCTTGGAGGCACGGTTGGCAATGGTTTGACCATGAGAATAAAAGGAAAAGTGTGCTTGGTAGTAATGATCTGGATGAGTTTCATAGGCCTAGAAAGTAAATCAAGAATCACATTTTGAGTTTCTTTGATATGTTTCACAATAAAATCATATCTAAAAAACTAATCTTTGAGCCTAAGAGTTTGAGGATCAGGAAGTATCTTATTTTTGAATTCGAGGATCTTAGGGAAAGAGGAATTATCCATCTAGACTTCAAACTGATGACCTCTCAAATGAAAGTCAAACTTTTGGATACCCATCTTAACTGCAAAAGCTTCCTTATAAGTGGTACGGTAATGTTTTTCAGCTTCTTTGAACTGACCACTAGCATGACCACAGTAATACTTTATTTCATCAATTTCTTCTATGAAGACGACTCCCCAGTAATGATCACTGACATCCGTCTGTAAGATTCTTTTACCGTCTCTCGGGATCTTTAAGGCAGGTGGAGTTTGTGCGATCTTTTACAAGGTTCTTACTGCTTCAGTTTGCTTTGTTCCCCACGGTGGAGGGTTTTTCTTCAGCATTTGAGATAAAGGACTCGTGTATCTTGCCAGTTTTGGCAAGAAATCTTTGATATAATTAATTATACCAAGAAATTGCTGAATTTGCTTAACAATGAGATTTTTATCGGGAAAGTTTAACAATTCTTGAGCAATATGAGGTTGAGGTTGATACTTCCCTTGGGAAAAATGCATTCCTAGAAAGTCAATTTCTATTTAGCCCAATTGACTTATCTTTTCAGAGAGCATCATTCCACGTCATTGGGTTATTTGAAGGAATTGTTCCAATAGTTGTTAATGGGATTTTTCATCTTTTGAGAATAAGAGCACATCATCAATATAGATGAGGATACTATTGAGAATGGGCTCAAAAATTCTAGTCATGGCCTCTTGAAAAAGTTATGGAGCTACCTTAAGCCCAAATGGTAACACAGTCCATTGGTATTGGGCGTTAGGAATACGGAACACCGTTTTGTAACGGTCCTCGGGGTCGATACCCAATTGCTAAAATTTTGACTTAAGATCGAACTTGGAATAGATCTGGGCATCTTTGATGAAAATATTTAAGGACGAGGCCTTTGGAATAGAAAATTTATCATCCTCGAGGAAATGATTTAGAGGTTTATAATTAATTACTATTAAGATGTGGTTAGGCCTAATTCAACCCTACAAAACCGGCTTGTAGGGTTGAATTAGACCCAACCACATCTTAATATGGTATCAGAGCCTCGTTTAAGATCCAGTGGGCCATCCACCATTTATTTCCACGCTCCAGTTGTCTAGTCCTGGGCGTGAGGGGGTGTGTTAAGAGTCCCACATCGGACAATATATGGCCTGAACATGTGTTTATAAGTGGGGGCAATCCTCACCCCCTCACGCCCAGGACTAGACAACTGGAGCGTGGAAATAAATGGTGGATGGCCCACTGGATCTTAAACGAGGCTTTGATACCATATTAAGATGTGGTTGGGCCTAATTCAACCCTACAAAACCGGCTTGTAGGGTGAGGATTGCCCCCACTTATAAACAGATGTTCAGGCCATATATTGTCCGATGTGGGACTCTTAACACACCCCCTCACGCCCAGGACTAGACAACTGGAGCGTGGAAATAAATGGTGGATGGCCCACTGGATCTTAAATGAGGCTCTGATACCATATTAAGATGTGGTTGGGTCTAATTCAACCCTACAAAACCGGCTTGTAGGGTGAGGATTGCCCCCACTTATAAACACATGTTCAGGCCATATATTGTCCGATGTGGGACTCTTAACAATTACTAGCCTCTTTTTTCCTCTTAACTTTTCAGATCTTTTTTCTATATAAAATGCTTGGCAAATCCATTCTGATTTGGCGGGTTCTATCAGACCTTGTTTGAGCAACTGGTTGCATTCTTCTCTGGCCAATGTATAATCTGATGGACTCATTCCTGGATGAGTGGCCTTGGTTAGATTAACATCTTCATTGAGCTTAAAAGGAAGTTGAAAAAAAAGTCTTTATTCTTCCATAGAGGTTTTGGATGGCAGAATGTTTCATAGCTGTTTGCACATAGTTTGAGTAGGTTGGACTTGATTTCGTCATATCCAGCAGGAATTTTAGATAGTGAATATAACTTCAATATCCCAGAATAAGGTTTGAATTCTCTTTTGAATTTTATTACTGTGGAAAGAATTTGGAGTCTATTGACTGTTGAATATACATCCATCCCCACTACAATATCTTTATTTGGAAGATTGCTTCCAATGACCTTGGTCCAAACTATGTAGTCGAGAAAGAATTTGATTCCTATCTTTTCCTTGGTCATTAAATATGTCCTGAAGACTTTCCCATCTGCTGCTACAAAGTATGCAGCATGTGTTACCCATGATTCAGCTGGAAGAATGCTAGGATTCATCATTGTAATCTGGGCCCCGATTTCCATATAAGCTATAACTTTCTTCGGACGGGAAAACTTTGTCGCGAGTACATGAACTTTAATACATGGGAGTGATAGAGTAGGAAGAGAACTTCCTATCTCTTTGAAGGAGTAAACAGGAAAATATTTGTCATCTTCTGATTCAGAAAATGATGCTTCGTCAGGCGCAGAGTCTTGAAAGGCAAAAATTGTTTCTTCATCAGCAGAACTTTGTTTAGAATACAAAGATTCTAGGTCTCCATCTAGAGGTTGAAGATAGTTGATCAATTTTGCGGCTTTGTGGGTATTATTAGGACATTCCTTAGAAAAGTGTCCCTTTTCCCACAAATAAAGTATCTCCGATTTTTCCCCTTTCCTCTGAAAGATTTTCTTTTAAAGAACTTCATAGTCTTCTTTTTCTTTCCTTTAAAGGTCCTATGAGATTTGGAGTATTTTTGATGATGATGTTTCTTTTTTGTTTCACAACTGCACCTTTTGTCTTTACACTTAATCTCCATATAAGGTTTTTTGCAGGCCTTGGTGAACTTTGACTTTTGATGTATAACTTCTTGAAATTGATGATGAAAGCTGCAAAGCTTTTCAAGTGCTTCCAACGTCGCCTGATGAATCTGGCCAAGACTCATTGTTGCAATATCCTTTTTAGTTGTTGCTACCATCCTATGGATTTTTTGCTGGAGTTCATGTGGTAGAGACGATGCATAGGTATTCTTGAGACTAGGATCGTTGTACCCATTGAAGAGATAAAACCTTTGTGCTATTCTGTGATAGTGTTTGTCGGGGTATTTTGTTTTGAGGGAGCAACACTTCATCTCAAAGAATTCCTGTCTATTTTTTCTATCGAACATATCCATATCTCCGATAAACTTCTGGTGGAGTACTCCAAGGATATTAGCTGTGCTTTCTTAACGATGTAACTCATATTGTTTGAAAGTCCCAAGATTGTGATACCATTCCTTCATCGTGCCTGTCATTCTACAACAAAATTCTTCAATGACCTTATAGCTATCTGCATTTGTTTTCATCATATGGGTATCAAGCCATGCTCTGAATTCGAGTAGTCTCTTTCTCCAACGACTAGGCGGTATATCATTAAATATGAACCAAGGACCGCCATTTGGTTTAGTCCTTTCAGGGACTAGAGTTTCTTCAGGAGATTCTTCAAAAAATGAATCTTCCTCTTTTATATTTGCCATGAAGAGTCTTGGGATGTAGTTTACTTCAGATTGTGATTTTGATGAAAAGGATCTTGGTGTTTCATCACTAGACATTTCTTGACAGGAGTCTTTGTCATCATCCGAGGAGGACTCATTTTCTTTTTGTGCCGATGATTCAGCAAGAGAGTAACTTTTCTGTGGAAATTCATAATTTCCAGTGATTGCCATGGCTTGGAAACCTTTATCAGGAATTTCTTCTTCCTTTTGGAATTTTGGAGGAGGTGTTTCAGGAAAATCCTGAGATTCTGAGGATGAAGCGCTTAAACAGGAAACCTTTCCTTTTGTCTTGGAGGTTGAGATAATGGTAGTTCTGGTAGATTTTGGTCTGTAAGCTGTAGGTATGTATTTGACCTGATCTGGTGGTGAAGAAACATAGGTAGGGAAGAAATGAGAAGGTCTTTCTGGTCGTTTGAAATATGTAGGGAAAGTAGGAGGGTCAAAGAAAAGGTTTTCAACATGTTTGGGCTTTCTTTCACGTGAAGCTCTTAAGAAATCATCTATTTCTTTTACTTGGTCTTGTAGGTTTCTGATTTCTCTTTCCTTTTGGTCAAAAGTTTTGCCAAAAGTTCTTTCTTCTAACAGCTATCGTAAATCACGATCCAACTGAGACACTTGAGCCTTTAAGCTTCTGTAATGCTTCTGCATTTTCTGTGATAGAACCTTGAGATAATCATCTGTCTCGTCTATTTTCTGAGCAATCTTGTTCACCTTTTTGTCGAGATTTTGGAGGATGTCATTTTGAGAAATCATGTTTTCTGATTGACGATTTAGAACTTCTTCAGCTTGAGTTAAAGGTTTGAGTTTTCCATCGGGTTGTACTTCATTAGGATGAATGAAGGGTTTGGATGTTCTTCCAGTGATTGGATTCATCTTCCTTTCTAGAGCAGGAAATTGTTGGCTATAATCTGGTGTGGTAGTTGAGTACATAAAGCAAGGGATTAGCTCAATATTTTTTGGAGGGTCCAAAACTTTGTAGTAGTCTGACGGTGACCACGTAACTAGAGTAGGATCATTTGGTGGCAGCAATTTTTCTTTCCTGAGGATCTTGAGAGCTTTCTCAGAAACAGGAAGAGGTTTCTTTTTATCATGGATACCTACCCATTGACCGTTATCAGGATCATATCTTCTTTGTGGAAGAGGAGATGGTTTGCACGCCCCATTGTTTTTTCTTTTCAGAAGGATAATATCACTGTCATAATCATTATCGTGCATCTAACATTCACATCCTGGGTCACATTTATTGGGATCTACGTCCCAAATAAAATGGCCATTTATCTTGTCAGTATAGATAAGTTCTCCTTTACTAGTTACAACATGAATTGGGCACCAATCTTCTTTGAGAATCGGTCAGATCATCATGGTCTGGAAAATAGGAGAAATTGAACTCGATCTTTCATCTGGTTTTTTGAAAATTGTTTTGACCGTTTTGTCAACAAATCTTCTAAAGGTGGCCTCTTGAGATTGTATTTGTCTTCTATCTTGATGAATTTTTGCATAGTTTGTTATCCACTCAAGAGGAATTAACTAAGTTAGTTCTTCCCTTGTGATCTTTCTTGGAATCTGAACGATAAAGGGTATATCTTCTTCTCTATTAGTAACTACGAACAGAGAATCATAAGGACATCCCATGAGAGACAAATCTATTGAATGATATTTTCAGAAATAAAACTTATTGAAATTTTTTATGGGATATCCTAACAATTGAAGACAAATTAAAAAATAAAAAATAAATATTTCCTGTACTTAATCCTTACAATACCACCAGTCAAAATCTATCCTTATCATACTTCAATTCCACACCTCGTTATTCAAACTAGAGAGATTAAAGGCAAACAGACAATTAACTATGTTTAAGAAAAGTAAAATATTAAAACATAATAGTTAATTTTTTTTTAAAAATTGATCCTTATTTACGTGAGTAGTTAGGTTAATTAACGCTATTGATGAAATTGAATGGAGTTTGAAATGACAACTTGTCTACCTATATTCATATACCCCTAGAAAAAAAACAAACAATAGAAAGTGACAAACATAAATAAAATGACTCTCACCGGCGAATTATGTCCTTCATTTGTCTTAATCTTCCTCACCATCCACTCAAGAATATTCTTACATCCCAATATTTTATTTATTTATCACTAATAGTTTACAAAAACACTGTTAAAATAATGATTAAATTATAATCACTAATAGTTTACAAAAACACGGTTAAAATAATGATTAAAGTATAATCACATTATTACAACTCACATCCACAACTACAACTGCTTCTCTTTTGTTCCTCACAATTTCCACTAAGCTTCAAATGGCTCTGTATGGTTCTTCTATATCTTCACACAATTTGAATTGGAAAATTGGGACAAGAAACATATCAAAATCTACTTCTTTTTCTATGAATTCTGATACCACAATCTCGTTATCGTTTTCTGGGAGTGTTTCCATGGGCCTTAACTTTAGGTTGAATCTTGCCTCTTCAACTTGTAGTGTTAAGAGAAATGGGTTTAGGAACCATGGTTCTCGTTTGAAGGTTGTTTGTATTGATTATCCAAGGCCTGAGCTTGAAAATACCGTTAATTTTGTTGAAGCTGCTTACTTGTCTTCCACCTTTCGTGCTTCTCCTCGCCCAACTAAACCTTTGAAGGTTGTTATTGCTGGTGCAGGTAACAAATACCCATCACTTTTTATCTATCAAAATTGTAACTTTGCTACCGAATTTGTTCTATTTGGTGTTTTCAAATTATCACTTATTACTTGACTAATTGACTTGACTTTAGTTTTTTCTTCTAATGGTGGTGGATTGTCATTTATATTATGACCCTCTAGCTTGGTACTTTAGGCACGCCTTTCTTACATATATGCTATTTCTATAACAAAAATAATATGAAATCAAACTATTTTTTATACACGTTATGAGTGGCTTATATTAGCTATTGTTCCATGGGAGGAATCATAATTGTTCCGTGAATTGGTGAAGTATCGCTTGTTAAGGTTGACTTGAGCTTCTGGTGCACTGGAAAGGGGGCTGATCTGCGAAGTTAGTACTCCAACTCTTAAGTCAGTGAGAGAATGAGAAGTGATGTGAGAGTGATAATGGATTTGAATATCTGAGAATGATGCACTTCTCTCTTAAATAGTCGGAACGGTTTGAAACAGAAAGCGTGGAGTGAGGTGTGGATTTGGGGTCAGCCGTCTGATTGATCTGGATGGCTAGCACTGCTCCTGTGGGTGGATTACCTGCTTCAAAGAGAATGGAATTCTACTTGCTCTTTGCAGTTGCTTCCCTTGCTTTACCATTGGGCCTTTCGTCTTGGGTTTTGTGGGCGGGCCCAGAACAACTATCATGAAGAGGGTATGGAAATAAACTAAAAATAGCTTACACACATATGCTATATGCTATATGTTGTTTCCATTAAGCTTTCTCAAACATTCTCACAATTGCTTACCGTAGTAGATAGAGTTGATAAGCTCAAATAAGTCAATCTAAGCAAACACACTTGAAGGCTTTGTCATGTTGGGTTGGGATGCAGTGCCAATAAAGAAAAAAGTTATGGAATTGATGATATCAATATTATCATGTGGATATTTTATATTTAACTGAAAGATTGTCTGTTTATAATATTTGCAAGAATTTTGACCCTTTTTTTTCTCTTTTGGGGTAATGTGTATTCAAATTATCGCAGGACTGGCTGGTTTATCAACTGCAAAATATTTGGCAGATGCTGGTCACAAGCCTATATTGCTGGAGGCAAGAGACGTTCTAGGTGGAAAGGTTTTCCGGCTAATTTAATCCCATTTATCAACAACCTTCTATTTTGTGCTTCTTGTTTTCATCATGTTAGGTTTCTGTTTCATTAAGTAAGAAGATTGTTCTTATTTGACTGTTGCTAAATAATCTAATGGATGCATTGGTTTTTGTATTATCAATAATTTAAGTATGATCACTAATTCAAGTTCTTGTTTTATGAATTAGTTTTCGTGGAAATGTTGAATTTCATTATCAAGTTTTTTAAAGGATCCAATAGTACAACCAAGTTATTTATTATAACTCAATTTTAAATGTTTTTATTCCATTGTCTCTTTTCTAAGGTTGCTGCATGGAAAGATGAAGACGGAGACTGGTATGAGACTGGCCTACATATATTTTGTAAGTTCATTACAATCTCAGACTCAACTATTTGTATTACATATTTGTCAATTTAATAATATCACGTCTCTAGACACTAGAAGAGAAAGAAAGTAAAGAGATAAAAAGAAAATGACAATAAAGCCAATCTTTCATTTCTTTGACCTTCTTCTAGAGTATGATCTGTAGTTTTGGGCTTTGACACAATACCAAGTTCAAGCCTTTTGCCTTCATGACCATATGGTTTAGAATTTTGATCAGTGCTGCCTCACACGTCTAATTACGAACTAAATTTCAAAACGAAGGCATGGGTTAACCTGGACTTTGTCCAAGCTTCAATCTCAAAAGGCTTTTGCACGAGTGTAAAAATTGGTCTTCTCCTAACATTGCTTTTGACGAGTTATCCCTTGGATGAATGTATTGAACTAAATTGATATTTCTGTTTAGTTATTCATTCAAAATGAATAACTATTTGAATCCTTGTTTATAATTATCCTGACTTTACATTTTCTTTTTCTGTTTCCCGAAGTTGGGGCTTACCCTAATGTGCAGAACTTATTTGGAGAACTCGGTATAAACGATCGGTTACAATGGAAGGAGCATTCTATGATCTTTGCTATGCCAAGCAAGCCTGGACAGTTTAGTCGATTTGATTTTCTCGAAGTCCTTCCATCTCCATTAAATGGTAATATGTAATACTTGATGTATGGTTACATAGTCACATAGCTA